GCTAATTCATGCCCTCTTCTTCCTCTCTGGGTGGTGGGTGGGGGAGGGGGAGCAGCGATGTTTCTTGCAAGTAAAGCCCCAAGCACCCTTCTGCCTTTCAGGTCCCGCTCTGCTGAAATACACATGCAGCCAATGTGTATTTTCATGCTGCACTCTCCCTCCCAGCCAATAGCAGCTAAAGTGGGTGGTATTTAATCACCACTGGGGTTTTTATTTTTTACTATTTAAAAGGGGAAATTACCATAAATTTTGGAGGGGGAGGGGTAAACAGTTCCCCCTATATTAAATTATTAAACATTTAATAAAACCCAATTTTTTGGCAAAATATAAAAGACGGGGTCACGTCGGGTAAATAGGCACCAAACATGCCAAGTCTTAAAATTGTGTGCGCCTGCGAAACCTCAAAAAACGACAATACCCAAAATTGGCCATAGGCGACGCTTTACAAGCTTTTACCGTTCATCAGTTTAGTGTTATCAGTGATTGATGGCCCTACAATTATTGCTCTCACTGCGACATTTACGCCGATATGTAACATGTATACCGCAATTGTCGCTTTCGCATGTTGGCGCCCCCGACTTTTATTTTATTTTTTTTACACTTAACGTTATTGCTATCACATAGGGGGATAACAATTCCCCTATGTGATAGCACAGGCACACTGACAGGTCCTCTTTATGGAGACATTAGGGGTCTCTAAGACCCCTTATGTCAGCTGGGGACCCCCAAAGAAGCTGATGAAGCAGATCTCTATAGCAGCCAGAGGACTGACAGGTGAATGCGGAAGTGATGTATTACACATCACTTCTGCATTCAGATGTCAGAGGGAGGGAGATCAGCAAGATGCTTATCTTCCTCCCAACACCCTCCCGAGCCGGTCCTGGGCCCAGATGGGGCAGCGGATCCCGTGATTGAAGGTGAGGGTGCAGGAGGGGGCGGCAGCAGGACGGCGGTACTGCGGGAGGGGGGGTGGCGCACATGGCGGCACATACAAGCAATCGGACAGGTATAGAGCCACCGATCTCTTGTATGTGTAACAGCTGGTAACGGATGTACAGATTCCCCTAACGGACGGGCACGCGCAAGCAGAAAAAAAATTACGTACATTTACATGACCCTGCCGGGAAGGATCCGCTGTTCGCCTGTAATTTTACAATAGGCGGACGGCAAGGGGTTAAAATTCCTACCAGATCTTAAAGGAGAACTATGGGGTTAAGGCTTTTCCCCATAGTTCTCCTTAGGGTAACGGGAGGACACAAACTTTTTCAGTGTTCAGCGCTGTAGTACTTTGACTGACATTTATTCCGTCATGCAACGCTGTACTGAAATTAATTTTATACCCTTTTTTGTAGGGAAGGGGGAGAGAAGATAAGGATGGAGGGGGAGAAAAAAAGGGAGAGAAGGGAATGGTGGGGAGGTGGGGAGATGGAGGAAGTGAGGACTGAAGATAAAGGGAAGGGAAGATGAGGGGTAGGGAGGAAGGGAAGAAAAGGTAATGGAGGGGAGGGAAGAGAAGGAAGATCCATGGTGTGCTCACCTCTCTGGAAGCCTGGACGCTGTTCTTGTGCTGACAGTTGAGGACCAGAACCGTCCAGTCTGTGTGTGGCACCATTTTGTCCCCGAACCTAGGCAGAGAGACAGGAAACAGCCTGAGACCTCCCTCCCTCCCTGCGGACTAGGATGGCCTGTAAGGATTAGGATAAGCAGTGCGGACTAGGATGACCTGTAAGGATTAGGATAAGCAGTGTGGACTAAGATGACCTGTCAGGATAAGGATGAGCAGTGTGGACTAAGATGACCTGTAAGGATTAGAATGAGCAGTGCGGACTAGGATGACCTATATGGATTAGAATGAGCAGTGTAGACTGCGATGACTTGTAAGCATCAGGATGAGCAGTGTGGACTGAGATGACCTGTAAGCTTAAGGATGAGCAGTACAGACTGAAATGAGCCGGAAGGATTATGATGAGCAGTGCGTACTGAGATGACCCGGAAGGATTAGGATAAGCAGTGCGGACTGAAATGACCTGTCAGGAATAGGATGAGCAGTGCGGACTGAGATGACCTGTCAGGAATAGGATGAGCAGTGCGCACTGAGATGACCTTTCAGGATAAAGATGAGCAGTGTGGACTGAGATGACCGGTCAGGATAAGGATGAACAGTGTGGACTAGGATGACCTGTTAGAATTAGGATGAGCAATGCGGACTGAGATGACCTGTAAGGATTAGGAATAGTGCAGACTAAGATGACCTGTTAGGATTAGGAGGAGCAGTGCGGACTAAGATGACCTGTTAGGATTAGGAGGAGCAGTGCGGACTAAGATACACATTGGGGGTTAAAATTAGCAGTGTGCATTCAGGTAACCTGGACAGCATTTACATGACCAAAAAAGATGAAGATATAAAATTATAGTAGTGCTGTAGTGCTGGGGACCTGGTCCGCCCTTGGTGTTTAAGATAAGCTAATGTGGTAGAATTGTCGGAAAACCCCTGAACCTCCTTCCCTGCTAGGCTTTCCTGAAATGCCTTCAACGCCACTCCCACGGCTGACAGTTCTCTGAAATCTGAAGAAGCATGTACCAGGCCTCGATGCCAGGGTCCCTGAGCCTGCAGACTCAACATATGAGCCCCAAGAACTGGCATCCGTGGTGACATTAATGGGATCTGTCTGACCCCATAACCTGCCCTCCAATAACCTTTCTCTCGACATCCACCAGCTGAGAGACTCCCGGACGTCCTCTGGAAGATGAACTCTCTGCTCTAAAGAGTCCCTCCTCCTGTCCCATTGTGACAAAAGGAACATCTGAAGACGTCTGGAATGGAACTGCGCCCAATTCAGAGCTGGAATTGAAGAGGTCATGACTCCCAAAAGTCTTATGACGTCCCTCAAGGTCAAATCCACGATGGAAAGGTTGGCCACAAGGCCGACCGGTCAGGAAAGAAATAAACGTGACGAAAGTTCCTGGACGGTAGGAAACACAAAAAAATGGAGGGACGAGGGGGTGGGAGGGTATTTAACTGCTTTCTTAATTGTGTTTCCTGTAGAAGGAAGAGCCAATCATCTCTCAGTTTGCTGGCCTGGAAGATGATTGGAGAAATAGTTATGCATTATTATATGATAGATACAGGTGTAATGTATAGTTGCAAAAAGTTTACATGGTATAAGCTCTATACTGTATATCTAAGGGGATACATTTGCAGAAGATGTTTATTTTCTGATGTGAAAGCTTTGAGCTTAAAGGAGAACTATGAGGTGAGTGATTTTCATCCTCATAGTTAGAGCCAACGTGTGACATTGAAACTGTCACATGTCGGCTCTATAGATCGGGAAGTGAGCTAACACATACCGCTGTTCATTCACTTCCTGATCATCTCCCAGCAGAGAGCGGTGACTGTCAGTCACCGCTCCCCACAGGGATTGCCCCCCACCCCTCTCCGATTCTACAGCACTGACTGGAGAAACAGGCGTGGGAGGGGGCGGGCACAGCTGCCTCTAGATAGGCAGAGCCCACTGTCAATCAGCCAGCTGGGTGGATCTTAACTGTCGGGATCCATCCTGCCTGTGGCACTCTTAGCATATAGCGGGCATACTGTGTTTGGGTCACGGTAGGATGTTAGTATATGTCCTCCCGTGACTAAGGCATGCAAGATTTTGGCATGCCTTACTTAGATCCTTCCTTCAGGCTTCGTACTAACTCCAACCTTTCCAAATTATTTGATGGTTAAAACACTAAGAGGAGAATTTATCAAAACTGGAGCAAACAGAAACTGGAGCAGTTGCCTGTGGCAATTTCATTTTCAAATCTTAACTAAACAAACTGAAGAGAGACACTGATTGGTTACTATGGGCAACTGCTCTAAATTCTGTCTGCTCCAGTTCTTTTTTATTCTTTAACTGTCTGCTCGTTTTGATAAATTCCCCCCTAGGTGACTGAATGTCCCCGCTCCCTGCAGGGTTTCCCCCTCCAGCGCTCAATGGAAGTAAATGTCTTGTAGGGTGGGCACAGCTATCTCATGCTCTAGAGAAACAGAGACAGCTGTCAATCAGTCACAATATTGTTAGGATCCTTCATGACTATCAGCATACAGTGGGCAGTCGCTACTACCGTATATGCTGAATTTGGGTCACAGGAGTACATTAGTGACTTGCATCTAGGGTTGCCACCTGTCCAGGATTCACCCGGACAGTCCGGGTTTTGAATGCTGTGTCCGGGTTTTATGGCAGCAGAAACCCGGACACAAGATGTCATACAGACAGGGGCAACCAAAATTAAGATAGGGGTTACAGGCCCCCCACTGGAAATAGTCTCAACTGTGACATTTACATATGAATGGGTGGCACTATTTACATATAAATAAGCCACTACTCATTCTCCCCCAAAAAATGTCAGCATGTTGCCAGGTGTTCGGGTTTCGCTTGGAGAAAAGGTGGCAACCCTACTTGCATCTGTGACCCAAAAGAGAAGTAAAGCCAAAAAAAGATTGTCTTTTAAGATCTACTGTACTGCTCATTGATACATGTTGGGTCTGCGTCTTCTCACTTTTACACACTAGATGGCATTGTTACAGTTTGAAACGTTAAATAAAAAAAAGTCAACTTTGGAACTTCAGCAATTGTTTAACAAGAAAATAAGGGGGAGGGGGAGGTACCATTAGCTCAGCTTTAGCTATCTTGTCACTCGATGTACAGTAGGCAATTAGTAAAAATGCTGTATTGGGATTCCAATCATGAAACGTATTACCACCAGCTATTATTGCACAAGGGTGGAAGCGTTCGGGACTCCGTGTCCTAGATGTGCGACAGCTGAGCAGACGTCTAAATTGGGAGCCATAACCAGTTTGGAACGCAATTACTATTCTGTCGCAAAAGCTAAGATAGTTACTGCGCATGCGTCGATGACGTCACTGCCGAGATGATAGTTGGGCGGAGAAGAGAACGCCAACTGGAATCGTTTAAGGGCGGAAGTGATCGGGAGAACGTGACGTAATACGAGTGCGACACCTGAACGGACATCTTGAGGGAACGAATTGGTAACGGTGTGTGAGGTGAGAAATATACATTCGCATTTTGTTTTAGGTTTGAAATACGGTCCACACATTGTATTTGGTTTTATTTTTAATGCGGATGTATTCGTGAATGTCACAGTAACGTGTAGCTTGCAAGGTTAATTGTTACCAGTGTGGCGTTGTAAAGATTCAGGGAGCTTCGTTAGAAAATAAACAAATGATTACCAAAGCAAGTATGAGGAGGCAGAAGATGCTATGTTTATGGTCTACAGATTGTACGTTTATGGGCACAAAAGAGAAAATAATGGTCTGATCACTGTTCTGCTTACTTTCCATTTCAAATGGTGACCAGCTATGATTTTTGAAAACTACAATATGTCTCTTTCCACCATGGCACTAGTATTCGTGACTATAGTATCTCGCCTTCCTGACATTGTCTTGTTCTTTTCCCTGAGGTCTGTAAACCGCTGTGAGACATTCATATAGTGTTGATTGCCTGTGTAGTGTTTCTAAATCATTTAAACTGATCATGTGATTGTAGGTCCTGTTTTAAATCTAAACTTTTATGGAGACCCCCCCCCCCGCCATGGTCCCCGTCGGTTTCCCCAGACTCCGCTGTCCCCGTGCAGCGTCCGGGACCAGCTAGGTGGGTCTATGCTGGAGTGCAAGGTATATGGTGATGGGACTAGAGACCAGAGTGACAAAGATAAGCTTATCAATCTGCTGCTTCTCCTTTCACTGGCCAGTTATGGGCTGGGGGAGGGAAAAGACCATTACATGTTACCAAACTGCAGCAGAGAAACATCAGGTCTGCTGCTTTGCTAGACAGGATTGTACTCTGTGTTAGAGCTGTGCAAATTTTAGGACTGGAGTGACATAAATAGAAAAACGTTTGCCAGGTAAAGCAACTCTCGTATGTATTTCATCTATTTATTTAGCTGAGGCCAGTTTTAAACTCTGTCACTATAAACTCCTAATAGATGTGCCTGTAAAGAATTATGTAAATACTCACCCCTTCTGCTGCTCATGCCGCTGACTACCATTTCCTTAGAGAGAAAATACTATGTGCAGTAATAAATGAATGGGAAGTAAAAAAAAAAAGAAATACAAATAAAATAGTTGAAAAATAATGTAACATTTTTCTTTAAAAGAATAAGTAATTTTTGGTCTCAAAATTCCATTTCGGTGCATCCCTAATGCTGACATCACACACAAAAATCCACACACTTTTCCCCATAGTTCTCTTTAGGTTTACGGGAGGACATGCACTAACCTCCTCCCGTGACCCAAAGCTCAGTATATAACGGGCTATCACGGAGAGCGCCACAGCCGGGATGGATCCCAACAACATTGTCGATATCCACCCAGCTGCGTGAGTGACAGCTGGCTCTGCCTATTTATAGGCAGAGTCAGCTGTGCCTGCCCCCTCCCCCGTACGTTCCTCCACTCACCGCTGGAGGATTGGGGGGGGGGGAAGTCCCTGCGGTGACTAATAGTCACCGCTCACTGCAGGGAAAGAATCGGGAAGTGAGCAGATCGGCTGCATGTTTCTGCTCCCTTCCTGATCAATAAAGCTTCTTTGTCGCAGGTCGGCTCTAACTATGAGGACGAGTGGAAATCACTCACCTCATAGTTCTCTGTTAACACTGGACATTAAAACTGGTATTTTTATATAGTTAAAGGAGAACTATGGGGTTAGGGCTTTTCCCCATAGTTCTCCTTAGGGTAACAGGAGGACACAAACTAGCATCCTCCCGTCACCCAAAGCTCAGTATACCGCGAGCCACAGCTCGCGGTATACTGAGACGGC